ATGATCAAGGAATCATGCGTTATCAACAATCCGGTGCACTTCTTTAATGTTGTTTTGGTCGATTTTCTGTTCCTAAACACTTTGAAAACTAATTTTTGATCATCATTCCGCAGGTTTGAACTATTTTTAACGTTCAAATCCAAAAGTTTCCGTGCGAAATTAAATAAATTTCAAACTTGTTTGTAGTGGGAAAACTGCGACTTATTAAATGTTAAAAAATACAAAGCTGAAATTTTGAGAGATGTGCTACATTAAGTGTTGCAGTTTAAAAAGTAAACAATCATATTTATCTTAAAATCAAATTTAAACAAATAATAATAATGTTTTCAAGGTCCAAATCACAAAAATTGAATGATAGTGATTTGTGGGATATTGAACGAATTATCATTCATTTAGATTTAATCATAAAATAATGTTCTTAATACTACGATGTTCACGATAAATGTGATTACGAATTAAAAACAGTAATACATGATGAATATGATTTGATAATAATAGAATACATCGGTACCTAGAGCCGGCCGTTCAACTGATTTCGTACGCGACAAGCTTGATCTTTTCATAAATCACCCATTTGGTTTGGTTACATGTGTGAACGTCTATTCGGTTATCCTTTTACGAATTTCGGTTAGCCGAGCAGTCTGTTTTCTGTGAATATGCAGCTTTTCAATTGGGTGTCACCCTTGAGATGGTAGCCCCTGGTCAGTCCCTTTCCCCTGCACCCCTCTAGCTACGCCACTGAATATATTAACTCTGATTGTCAAATAAAACACTTAAAATAGTTCTTTAATTTCTATGTTAAATGTATGTCAAATTTACATTAATAATACTGGTTACATGTGTGTACGTCTATTCGGTTATCCTTTTACGAATTTCGGTTAGCCGAGCAGTCTGTTTTCTGTGAATACTTCCGGTTCACTAGCGCTTGATAGGCAGCAGTGAAATCTCTGTTCATTTTTTCATTTTTGGAATGTGTTTTTCAAATGTTATTCCTCACTAGTTGGGACAAGTTTGTAACTCAAAGTCTCCTGGACGTAGGAATGTAATTTATTTCGAAAATTACTAGGTTTATTAGAATTATTCCATTCTTAATTTATATAAAATTAGACAGTCAAGGCTATCGATATATTACTTCCGGTTTTTTATTCGCTTACTAGATAGTTCAGAAATCTCTACACTTACGCATAATCAGGAGTTTTCTCACACATTTTTATTGATTGATAATTAATTTCTAAATGACACTATGTGGAACGCTGTGCGTCGACAAGTCAAGCCACAAAAGTGTTTCTTTGTTTTGAGTAGATTTTAACTTGAAAGAGATGTCCTACCTCCATTATTCATCTACTAGACTGCGCCAGCTGCGTAACCTTCTAGCTGATAGCTATCTCCTTAGTAGTGAAATTCTTGCACGATGTAGAGCACTTCAATTAATAAAAAAGAAAACTGCAAGAAGTTTTCGCGGGGGAAAAAGGAAGATGAAATCTCGTCACTCAGCTCCTTCCACCTCAACACCTGACCATATGCATCAACCCACTTCTCCCCAGTTTGCCCTCAAAGATACAATGAAAGTAAATTGGTATTTTGAGACGCAGCAATCGATGCATATTGTGGAGAGTTCGGACGACGACGCCGTCGCCGTCTGACAGGTACAGCCGGCGCCAGCTGACAAGAGATCACGGCCGAAGGATCAAGCGCTGGGGTGCCTGGCCGTCTGACCACCCAGACACGACCGAAGGATCAAGCGCTGGGGGCGGTAACCCAGACACGACCGAAGGATCAAGCGTTGGGGGCGGTACCGGCCATCCATCTGACCAGGGCATTTCCCTGGTCTGTTTGTAATCTGGCGCCGATTGGGAAAAAGGGGCGGGGTATAATGCGCCTGGACCTGGGAGAGGAACTATGGGACAGGGAGGTATAAATAGGGATCTCTGGACGGGACGAAGGGAGCGCGGCGGATGGTTAGGAGAAGAGCGCGGCCGGATGGTATGGAGGGAAGGCGGCCGGACTGAGAACTACATAGCAGGGAGAAGTCAGAGTTGTGAATTGAGAGAAAAAGTAAGCAAGGTTACAGCCCAAATAAAGAACACGAGTTTAATCATCAAATGTATCACCGGAGTTGTTTCCTTATTGAGTACCAGATCTAGATGACGTTTGTCAGAGAGTAAGCAAGGTTCCTTACAATGGTGGCAGCGGTGGGATGTTAACCTTGCAACGACTCTGAAGAGACAATATTTTTGAGTAGCCGGACTGAGATGAGAAGTGCAAGGTGTGGAAAATCTATGGCAAGCACAATGACTTCCCAGTGTTTAAACAAACTCCCAACGTACAGTGGAACCTCGACATGGCACACTTTTATCGTGCAGTTTGAAACAGCTGCAAAAATCGTCAAGTGGAGCGAGGAAGAGAAACTCCTTTATTTGGGGTTTGTTTTGAAGGATTCGGCGGCTGAATTCGCTTTTAGTGAATTAAGTGAAGAAGAGCGAGAGACGTACGAGAAACTTAAAGATGCCCTCGCCAATCGGTTTCAGGATCATAGAACACCAGCTTTCTTCCAGAATCTGTTGGAAAAACGTACGTTCCTAAGAACAGAAACCAGTGCTGAGTACGCTACCGACATCAAGAAACTGGTAAGGAAGAGCTTTCCAATGGCAGACCAGGCCACACGAGATGCCATTGGTTTTAGGCAGTTTTTACGTGGGCTACAGGATCCTTCAATGGTCACACATGTTGGCACTATGGCCGTCCCTCCAACAGTGGACAAGGCGAGAGCAGCCCTGGAGCAGTTATAAAATCTGAAGGACAATTTTTGTCTACCGGGAAAGCAAGTAGCATCAATAGCTACTGACAATTTGGCCAGAGAGATCAGCGGCCTGAGAGAGGACTTTAAAGCATTCATCACCTCACAGAGAGGGGCAGTTAACAATTCAGCTCGAGAAGATGGAGGTTATCGGCAGGTGGAACCTAGGTGCTTCGAGTGTGATCGAATCGGTCACATTGCCCGTGATTGTCAAAACAGGAGCTTAGGAGGCGAAATTCCTGATCGGCTAAATATGAATCACATTTCATCGAATGGTCGAGACGTTCGTCCTAGTGCTGTGTTTGTGCCTGTTACAGTGTGTGGTGTTAGTGCAGAATTTCAAATGGACACGGGTGCGGCTGTGACCGTTATTTCAAAGAAAAGATTTTTTGAAATTCCTCGACGGCAGAGACGTAAGTTTCATCTCTCACCTGTGAAGCTGCAGACAGCTACTGGAGCACCAATGAATCTATATGGGGGGAATGACTTAAATTTATTGATTGGAGATAAAGTGATTTATTTAAAATAAAATTGAGACACACACACACACATAAACACACATACACGGTCACTAACAAATGTGGATATTATTAGTTTGAAATTAACCGATATTTTTTTTAAGTATTATGAAACGTATGCCCACCCAGTTTCGCTACGATGCAACAATTTATGTAGAAGCTTGCATTCTAACTTAAGCCTTCTTGTAGACATTTGGATATTATAAGGATAACACCTTTTGAAAACTCCTGCACCCTCTTAGAGCCTTCTAGAAACTTAAAAAAATATATTTCAACTGATGTCACTATTAAGTTCCTTTCTGAAGACGAGGACCACCTTCGCCCCACCCTTTCCCATTGATAGGTCAGCTCTGCAGTTGGTGCGACTTTTGCATTATTGGCCAACTGTAAATGTGGAGCAATCACAACACTGGCTCACAAAAATTAACATTATTTAAATTGCGCGAATATTATTATTTATTTCCTTACTTGTTTTATGAATTCACATCAGAAAATACTAAGACAGAGTATGTCGAATAATGAATCGAAAGACAGGACAATAAGAGAAGAGCGTTTCGGCCAAGAGCTTTCACGAATATTATTATTTATTTCCTTACTTGTTTTATGAATTCACATCAGAAAATACTAAGACAGAGTATGTCGAATAATGAATCGAAAGACAGGACAATAAGAGAAGAGCGTTTCGGCCAAGAGCTTTCCTCAGCAGAAAGGACTAATGAAAATACATCCAGAAATAGAAAGTGACTTACTAACTCAATTCATAGCAAGAAGTATCAATAAATTCTCCCTTTAAAACATACGGCATCGTCATTTAAGAAGCACGAAGTTATCGCCAGTTAAGCAGTACGAAGGTATCGTCATTTATTTGAAGGGTTCTTACGCTGTTTAGAAACTCACACCAAATCCCCCCCCCCCCCCCCTAAAAAAAAAAAATTAAATTATTTAATTATTGGCCAAAAAATCCCCCACCCAATAAGTTACATCATGGGGTGACGCAAATACACGCACTAAGCGATCGGTCGATACTCGTCCATAGCTTACATAGATCATTTGATAGCGTATCTTATGAAAATGCCGTCAGAGTTAGCAACGTAACCAATGCAGATGAAGTGGCTTGTTATGGCGTCTTCACTTCACTATGACTTTAATAACTGGCTCATCTAAGGCAAATCTATTGATTTTTTTAACTGCTGTGGACTAGTGCAGTCGTAAAAGTTAAACATATACAATAATGGCCGTGAAGAGATATAAAAAATTTGACATTTTACGATCGACTGATTCTTAAAGAGTTACCAATTTTCATTTGGTTTTGTTTTGAGTCTGACTGATCATATAAGGTAGTAAAACTGCGNAGCGATCGGTCGATACTCGTCCATAGCTTACATAGATCATTTGATAGCGTATCTTATGAAAATGCCGTCAGAGTTAGCAACGTAACCAATGCAGATGAAGTGGCTTGTTATGGCGTCTTCACTTCACTATGACTTTAATAACTGGCTCATCTAAGGCAAATCTATTGATTTTTTTAACTGCTGTGGACTAGTGCAGTCGTAAAAGTTAAACATATACAATAATGGCCGTGAAGAGATATAAAAAATTTGACATTTTACGATCGACTGATTCTTAAAGAGTTACCAATTTTCATTTGGTTTTGTTTTGAGTCTGACTGATCATATAAGGTAGTAAAACTGCGCCTCTTGCATCTGCTTTATTGAGTTGCTTTTCTGTTTAAAAATAATAATAATTACTCCCGCTAGGATGTGACCACTCAAATTGAAATAACTAAAGATTTTTCTGTGAAACCACTATTTCCAGAGAGTCCCGACCAAATGGTCATAGTGTGGAGTACCATCAATGACACTAAGGCATCAACAGTTTTGTATGGTACCAATGGCAAACTGAAACTTGAGGCCAGTGGCGTGCGGGAGAAGTTTGTTGACAATGGAACACTGAAGAGATTGCAGTTTATCCATAGGGTCGTGCTCAAAGGCCTGGCACCAGACACAGAATACAGTAAGTAGGTCAAATAGTTCGACATGGAATACAGTAAGTAGGTCAATAGAGTGTCATGGAATACAGTAAGTAGATAAAAAAGTTCGACATGGAAAGTCAGTAAGTAGGTCAAATAGTTACTCACGGACAACAGTAAGTAGGTCAAATAGTTAGTCACGGACAACAGTAAGTAGGTCAAATAGTTCATCATGGAATAAGGTGAGCAGGTCAAAAAGTTCTTCATGGAATTCAGTACGCAGGTCAAATAATTTGTTCAGGAATACAGTAGGTCAAATAGTAGTTCAAGGAACAACGTAAATAGGTCACATGGTTGGAATAAAGGAAGTAGGTTAAATAATAGGGTGATGGAATACAGTAATTAGGTTGATTAGAAGATTATACAATGCACTGAGTAGGTTATATATGAGGTCGTGTAATACAGTAAGAACGTTAAATAGCAGGTCGGGGAAAACGGTAAGTAGATTAAACTGTTGGTCATGGAATGAATTCTTACATGTTTTATTAGAGACATAACACAATGAGTAGTTTTGATAGTCAATGATTGGCTGGCCTATGTAAACTGCAGTCAATGATTAGCTGTCCCGTGTAAACTGTCAATATTTGGCTGTCCTATGTAAACAGTAGTCAATGATTGGCTGTCCTATTTAAACTGTAGTCAATGATTGGCTGTCCTACGTAAACTGTAGTCAATGATTAGCTGTCCCGTGTAAACTGTCAATATTTGGCTGTCCTATGTAAACAGTAGTCAATGATTGGCTGTCCCGTGTAAACTGTCAATGTTTGGTTGTCCTATGTAAACAGTAGTCAATGATTGGCTGTCCTATGTAAACTGTAGTCAATGATTGGCTGTCCCGTGTAAACTGTCAATATTTGGCTGTCCTATGTAAACAGTAGTCAATGATTGGCTGCCCTATGTAAACTGTAGTCAATGATTGGCTGTCCTATGTAAACTGTAGTCAATGATTGGCTGTCCTATTTAAACTGTAGTCAATGTTTGGCTGCCCTATGTAAACTGTAGTCAATGATTGGCTGTCCCGTGTAAACTGTCAATATTTGGCTGTCCAATGTAAACAGTAGTCAATGATTGGCTGTTTTATGTAAACTGTAGTCAATGATTGGCTGTTCCGTGTAAACTGTCAATATTTGGCTGTCCTACGTAAACTGTAGTCAATGATTGGCTGCCCTATGTAAACTGTAGTCAATGTTTGGCTGTCCTATGTAAACTGTAGTCAATGTTTGGCTGTCCTGTTCAAACTGTAGTCAAATTGTGGCTGTCCTATGTAAACTGTAGTCAATGTTTGGCTGTCCTGTTCAAACTGTAGTCAATATTTGGCTGTCCTGTTCAAACTGTAGTCAATGTTTGACTGTCCTGTTCAAACTGTAGTCAATATTTGGCTGTCCTGTTCAAACTGTAGTCAATATTTGGCTGTCCTGTTCAAACTGTAGTCAATGTTTGGCTGTCCTATTCAAACTGTAGTCAATGTTTGACTGTCCTATGTAAACTGTAGTCAATGTTTGGCTGTCCTGTTCAAACTGTAGTCAATTTTTGACTGTCCTGTTCAAACTGTAGTCAATATTTGGCTGTCCTGTTCAAACTGTAGTCAATATTTGGCTGTCCTATGTAAACTGTAGTCAATGTTTGGCTGTCCTGTTCAAACTGTAGTCAATGTTTGACTGTCCTATGTAAACTGTAGTCAATGATTGGCTGTCCTATTTAAACTGTAGTCAATGATTGGCTGTCCTATGTAGACTGTAGTCAATGATTGGCTGTATTATGTAAACCGTAGTCCCATATTTCAGGCTACATTGTTGGATGCAAGGTTTATGGCTGGTCAAATCTGTTCACCTTCCGGACCTGGCCTCAAGGAGAAAAATGGAGTCCAAGCCTTGCAGTGTTTGGTGACATGGGCAATTCTAATGCCCAATCTTTGCCTAGGCTTCAGATTGATGCCCAGACAGGGATGTATGATGCAATCATTCATGTTGGTATGTCCCGAAATACTACTTTTATATATTGACATTGTTTTTTATTTAAAATGATGGACTAATTTGACCAGGAGCAATGTAAACACAATGTAAACACAATGTAAACACAATGTAAACACAATTAACATAGAACAATAATCTCATGATCTTTTTTTTTTTTTTTGCAGGATATTTTGCTTACGATTTGGATTCGGTGAGTTAATCATTAGCTTTATTTTGAGTACCTTATATATATAAATCGTCTCTACATTGCTATGTATAATCTTGCAGAAACATAACAGTTAATAAGCAGTTTAAGGTAACTCTTGAAATATTTACTATTTAACTATGACACAATTCAAAAGTAGATTCAAATATAGAAACGCAAAAATGTTTCGTTTAAAATAATTTGTAGGACAACGCTCGTGTGGGTTATGAGTTCATGAGACATATTGAGCCGATTGCCTCCAGACTTCCTTACATGACCTGTCCAGGCAACCATGAAAACACCTAGTAAGTTAACCTTTTCGTTGTTCAATTCATTTGTGTATCAAGGAATATCCAAAATGTTTGTGTCAGTCAACTAACAAGTTTTGGTGATCGAGACTGTACATATGTCAGTGTAACACAACTACTCTGACATGGCGTGGGAGCTTATTTCTTATGCTGTGGGTTATGTCAGTAGTATGGTTACTTATGTTATGTTGATATTTCAGGATGCCGACTAAGACTTCTTCATTCTTCCACTTATCATCCGGGCACGCAAATAAGAATACTGAATCCTGGTTAAACTTACAGTACTTTATTGAACACACTTTATACTGATAATATTAATAAATAATCCTTGCATGAATGTAATTTCACATATATATCTATAGTATTCCATCATTAAGAAAGACACGTCCTCACACTAAACTGTCAACTGTCTAATCACACAGCTCTCACGCTACTGTTCTCTACTGCTCTGCGCTCCGCTCTCACTATCTCAGTCAACTCATACTTTATTACCAGCAAAGCGTGGAAAACAACCGCTCTGACAAAAACATAATTTTACTCTCCAAAAACGTGGAGTTCACATTTGCATCTCAAAATACAATCCATTGTCTCTGCCCGTGGAAAAAACATGGTCAACACAATTCATTGTTCACTCATGCTACCTCTCTGTTTTCATGTGAAAACATAGTCCGTTACAGTCAGTCAACTGACAAGTTTTTGGTGATCGAGACGGTACATGTCTGTCAACTGACAAGTTTTGGTCATCGAGACGGTACATGTTAATTTTCAATTTTAAGCTAATTCCTTCATAATCTAGACATAGAAATAAGAAATTTAATCAACAATTATTGCATAAAGGTCAGACTATTTTTTTAAAATCAAGAAGTTCAACTTTTTTAAGAAAACAATTTTTGAAAACCACCAGACTTCTTTATTTTTGGGAGCAACGAAATGAAATCATATTAATTATTATTAGATCCATTCTCCACATTGGTTTATTTTATAGTAGAATTTGCAGGTCATGGGCAAAAAAACGTTTCCAGATATCTTTGGCATTTTTCTATTAATCCAGATATTCTAGGCACCTTTCTACGAATCCAGATTTTTTAGGTACGTGTCCACATTTAAAGACATCCCGAGCAGCAGTCCATATTGACATATAAACTGTGGATTGTGTACATATTTTCTTATATCCAATGCCACCCATTTCCCATGAGCCTGATCTTTGGCAAATGTCCTCATATCCAGACATCCTCATCATGGGTAACTGTCCTCATATCCAGACATCCTCATCATGGGTAACTGTCGTCATATCCAGACATCCTGATCATGGGTAACTGTCCTCATATCCAAACATCCTGATCATGGGTAACTGTCCTCATATCCAGACATCCTGATCATGGGTAACTGTCCTCATATCCAGACATCCTGATCATGGGTAACTGTCCTCATATCCAGACATCCTGATCATGGGTAACTGTCCTCATATCCAGACATCCTGATCATGGGTAACTGTCCTCATATCCAGACATCCTGATCATGGGTAACTGTCCTCATATCCAGATATCCTGATCATGGGCAACTGTCCTCATATCCAGACATCCTGATCATGGACAGCTGTCCTCATATCCAGACATCCTGAAAGATGGCTGCTGATAGAGCTCATACTATAACACTATATTATACGTTTTGTTTCATACAGGATTTGCCCTTCACCACAGAGGTTCTTACGTTCTGCAGCAATGGATCCGTTTTAACCAGTGTCGATTATTCTGAGTTTTTTTTTCCTTATTTCTCTTCAATACTGCAACTAGACATTGTTTCTCTACAGCCACTTCTCCAACTACAGATCCAGATTTTGGATGCCAGGAGATGAGAACAAACAGATGTACTACGGGTAAGAGATTTGCCTCAAATGAGCTTCCTTAAATTGTATCATTGACTTTTGACCATTAGAATATATGTGCAATGTTAAATGAAAATCACCAGCAAAAAGCTTGTCCATATGTCTCTTACAATATTTAGTTTGTAGTGATACCCTAAAATGCTAAACTAATCGTATTCCTTTCACTGATCTTCGCTCCGTTCATTTTTTTTTTAATCGGTCAATAAGTGAACTCCCTACAGAGGTTTTAACATGGGTCCTTGAGGAGCTTGTGGCTTAAGGGGTGTAGTGAGGGGGTAGAAGTTCATGTGATATTGTAGCAAGTTTGTTGAAATTCAGGTGTATGGTCCTTTACAAGTGTTCAAACAAGTGTATGTTTTTTTTTTATTAATTACAGACCTATTTATTTCATTTGTGCAGACGTATTTATTCATTGCTTTCGATCATCAACAAAAATATTTCCCCATTTTCACGATGACTGACGTTGACATGACTTACGCATGATGCTGTCATCACTGTTTCACCATGACAGACGTTGACATGACTTACGTAGGATGCTGTCATCACAGTTTCACCATGACTGACGTTGACATGACTTACGCATGATGCTGTCATCACTGTTTCACCATGACAGACGTTGACATGACTTAAGTATGATGCTGTCATCACAGTTTCACCATGACAGACGTTGACATGTCTAATGTATAATGTTGTCTTTACAGTTTCACCATGGGGCCCGTACGTTTTATCTCTCTGTCAACCGAATTGTTCTTCTTTAATGATGGACAAGAGTACGTTATGTACGATCAATACGATTGGCTGGATAAAGAATTGGCTGTAAGTTCAAGGTCAACTGGTAGCAGTGGCGTAGCTAGGGTTCGTGTCATCCTGTGCGGTAAACTCATAGTGTTGCCCCCTCCTTCCGACACTTCCACTATGGATTTTTTTCTTGTTAAAATAAGTCCACAGTATAACAATGACAAAAACAAATTCATTGAACGTCAGGAAGTAAATGTAACAATCTTAAGTTATAGTTATTTATAGTAAAAATTTACTTTATTTAAACTTTTCTTTTCTGGTCTTCAAAGCTACAAGCTGTCAATCACTTGATCAAAACAAGAAAGCCTTGACTTTCCCATGGTGGATAGTACATTGTTCTCCTGCTATTCCCTTCTTTAACCTTAATCTCTTTACCGATATTCCACATTGGTCTCATTTTAAAACGACCTTTGCAATAGCATGCTCCACCAAATAACAGCGGTTCTCGTACATTAACAATCGTAACCCCTCTTCTAGGTTGTCACCACTTTGTCAAGATTAAAGCCTTTAGTCTGCAGATACAATTTTAAAACGACCTTTGCAATAGCATGCTCCACCAAATAACAGCGGTTCTCGTACATTAACAATCGTAACCCCTCTTCTAGGTTGTCACCACTTTGTCAAGATTAAAGCCTTTAGTCTGCAGATACTGATGTGTAAGATTAATTTCTTCAAGTAGATCAGCCCAACGTTAAAGGTAGAAGAGAAACGTGAAATCACAAAGAACATGTAAAAGACCTGGTGCCGTATGACAACCGTGCTCAAATGCTAAGGGGCGGTGCAAGTGACGAATCGGCGAATATATTTACTTTTAGTATTATCGGGTTTCAAAAGCATTTCTTTACATTGTACATAAATTTAAATTAATTATTAAAAGATATTAGAAACTTTGTAAATTCATTTTGTAACGGTTCAAATTTTTACCGATTAGATTCCTCTACGTAGAATCGCCCGACCATATCGTATTTAATTTCAGTGGTAAATCTAGTTTCCTTTCACCTACGAAATCACCCAATGCTTCAATTAGCGTTGAATCATGGTCGAAACGATGTTTTTCTGATCTAATTATAGGGTCACCTCATTTCTGACGCATCAACCTTGAACTTTTAATAATACACGCATTTGAATGGTCGCAGGTTTGGAAGATTTTCGTGTGATCGATTAACCTATTATGATATTTGATTAGACCGAGCAGTTTATGCCCTGTACATATTCAAGTTATAAATTTGATGTCACCCCTGAGATGGTTTCCTCCGGTGCGGTCCGCACCCGCGCACCCCTAGCTACGCCACTGAATGTTAGTAGCAAGCAAATTAAGCTTTACACATACAGTTGTGCCGGAGAGTTATTGTCTTAATTGATAACATTCTAAATTTGATGTAAATTTGCCCGGGTAGATGGAACTAGTTAACCTTTGATGGCAAGTAGTAGGCCAATTCTGAAATTAAACTCGGAGATGGAGTCCCGTAGGCGGTATGACATTGCCAATATGAAAATTCCGACAACTCCTGCGACGTGGAACGCATAAGGGCACAGTGAGACACAAGATGTAGTGCTGGTCATCTACTACTATACTGGTCTAATTCTTGTCATACGCAAGGACGAGAGAGTAACCCTGTCAAAATTCCGACAACTCCTGCGACGTGGAACGCATAAGGGCACAGTGAGACACAAGATGTAGTGCTGGTCATCTACTACTATACTGGTCTAATTCTTGTCATACGCAAGGACGAGAGAGTAACCCTGTCAATTGGGGAACTCTTCCTCACTTTAAACCAAAAAAATCAATTAATTTGGTGTTAATGAGCTTGAAACTTACTAACAATTAATTTGGTGATATTGAGCTTGAAACTTACTAACAATTAATTTGGTGTTAATGAGCTTGAAACTTACTAACAATTAATTTGGTGATATTGAGCTTGAAACTTACTAACAATTAATTTGGTGATATTGAGCTTGAAACTTACTAACAATTAATTTGGTGATATTGAGCTTGAAACTTACTAAGACAAAATTTGCCTTGAGGATTAAAGTTGTAGAAATAATTTATTTGTATCACGATAGATATGTTTTTGTTTACCGCAAGGTTGAAATTTCATTGAGCTGACATGTCATTAGGCTAATAAGGAAGGATGACATGTCATTAGGCTAATAAGGAAGGATAAGCCCACATAGTTGAATATTAGTTAAAGGATTTTTCTGATCTACTTAGAAAGCCAACCTGCCAGAGAATCGTGCCAAGCAGCCCTGAGTCATCATATTTGGTCACAGGCCCATGTACTGCTCCAACGACGATACCGATGACTGCACCAAAAGTGACAGTATTGTAAGTTGTTTCAGCTAACTTGTTAGAGATTTTTCAAATAGCACTTCTCTTTCAAACAAATCTTTATTTTTTTTACACTTTGCCCTTTACCTTTATAGGGATCGCTGTCGCCATTTACAAATAACAGTGAATATCCTGTCTTGAACGAGTTCATGTACTCATTGCTCCACATTTTTTAAAAAAGGTGGGGGGGGGGGTAATGTCATTGAATGCCAAATAGATGAGTTTATAATTGTAGGCAGATAGAGTTTGTAACTGTAGTCAGATAGAGTTTGTAACTGTAGTCAGATAGAGATTGTAACTGTAGGAAGATACAGTGTGTAACTGTAGTCAGATAGAGATTGTAACTGTAGTCAGATAGAGTTTGTAACTGTAGGCAGATAGAGTTTGTAACTGTAGTCAGATAGAGTTTGTATCTGTAGTCAGATAGAGTTTGTAACTGTAGTCAGATAGAGGTTGTAACTGTAGTCAGATAGAAGTTGTAACTGTAGTCATATAGAGGTTGTAACTGTAGTCAGATAGAGGTTGTAACTGTAATCAGATAGAGGTTGCAACTGTAGTCAGATAGAGGTTGTAACTGTAGGCAGATAGAGGTTGTAACTGTAGTCAGATAGAGGTTGTAACTGTAGTCAGATAGAGGTTGTAACTGTAGTCAGATAGCGGTTGTAACTGTAGTCAGATAAAGTTTGTAACTGTAGGCAGATAGAGTTTGCAACTGTATGCAGATAAAGTTTGTAACTGTAGGCAGATAAAGTTTGTAACTGTAGGCAGATAAAGTTTGTAATTGTAGGCAGATAAAGTTTGTAACTGTAGGCAGATAAAGTTTGTAACTGTAGTCAGATAAAGTTTGTAACTGTAGGCAGATAAAGTTTGTAACTGTAGGCAGATAAAGTTTGTAACTGTAGGCAGATAAAGTTTGTAACTGTAGGCAGATAAAGTTTGTAACTGTAGTCAGATAAAATTTGTAACTGTAGGCAGATAAAGTTTGTAACTGTAGGCAGATAGAGTTTGCAACTGTAGGCAGATAAAGTTTGTAACTGTAGGCAGATAATGTTTGTTACTTTAGGCAGATACAGTTTGTAACTGTAGGCAGATAGTGTTTGTTACTGTAGGCAGATACATTTTGCAGCTGTAGGCAGATAGTGTTTGTAACTGCAGGCAGATACAGTTTGTAACTGCAGGCAGCTACAGCTTGTAACTACAGGCAGATACAGTTTGTAAGTGTACTCAGATATTTCCCCGTAACACCAATCATCAATCAAATGATGCGTTACACCCATCGTATTTATGTTATCGCCAAGCGGGAATCGGTCTGCAAACAACGAAAGGATAACCAGCATCATGAGAATGTTAGCCGTAAGTGTTGTGCATTGTTAGTGGAGTACTTGAATGTTATACTGTCTGGTGTAGGATATGTGCACATTAATTTATAAATAAACAAAGCATTATCCCAACAGACAGAAACCAAAGTATAGTTTATAGTGTAATTCGACAAATCAAGCCTTTTATACATATTTTTTTGCATCTTTACATTCCATATGGGAATAAAATAGTCATTTCATTATTATTTAATGTGTTGTTGTATCTTCTCAGGTTCGCATTGGACAGCCATCAATAAAACTGAAAGGTTGGGAGGAGTTACTCTACAGATACGGAGTGGATGTTGCTATCTGGGCCCAAGAACATTCTTATGAGAGGCTTTGGCCCATCTATAATAAACAGGTCATTTATAAATTTATGAACATTTGTATGGGAGGCTTTGACCCATCTATAATAAACAGGTCATTTATAGATCTATGAACATTTGTATTGGAGGCTTTGGCCCATCTATAATAAACAGGTCATTTATAGATTTATGAAAATTTGTATGGGAGGCTTTGGCCCATCTATAATAAACAGGTCATTTATAGATTTATGAACATTCGTATGGGAGGCTTTGGCCCATCTATAATAAATAGGTCATTTATAGATCTATGAACATTTGTATGGGATGCTTTGGCCCATCTATAATAAACAGGTCATTTATAGATCTATGAACATTTGTATGGGAGGCTTTGGCCCATCAATAATAAACAGGTCATTTATAGAGTTATGAACAATTGTATGGGAGGCTTTGGCCCATCTATAATAAACAGGTCATTTATAGAGTTATGAACAATTGTATGGGAGGCTTTGGCCCATTTATAATAAACAGGTCATTTATAGAGTTATGAACAATTGTATGGGAGGCTTTGGCCCATCTATAATAAACAGGTTATTTATAGATCTATGAAAATTTGTATGGGAGGCTTTGGCCAATCAATAATAAACAGGTTATTTATAGATCTATGAAAATTTGTATGGGAGGCTTTGGCCAATCAATAATAAACAGGTCATTTATAGATCTATGAACATTTGTATGAGAGGCTTTGGCCCATCTATGATAAACAGGTTATTTATAGATCTATGAAAATTTGTATGAGAGGCTTTGGCCAATCAATAATAAACAGGTTATTTATAGATCTATGAAAATTTGTATGGGAGGCTTTGGCCAATCAATAATAAACAGGTCATTTATAGATCTATGAACATTTGTATGAGAGGCTTTGGCCCATCTATAATAAACAGGTCATTTATAGATTTTGAATATTCATAATATGAGAGGCTTCCAATTAATTCTTCTTTTTCTAACAAATACAATGGACAAATGTCATAGATTAAAGCTAACAAAACCGTTACCGTCAGCATCAGTTATGTTCTGGACACATGCCTGAGAGGCTATTGAAGACTGGACATAGGGCCTACCTGCCTAAGATGATATTTAAGACTGGATATTTGGCCTAGAGAGGCTACTGAAGACTGCTGTTGCATTAATTAGTGAGAGTCATTGCAGTTCTTGCTTCACATTATTTCACAATGTTTCCCTAGTTTACCTCCATTCTACCTTGAGACAATTTTTTTTTTTAATCGCTCGTTTTGGTTCTGCCGTCTGCAGGTCTTCAATGGAAGTTACAACGAACCTTACACCAACCCCAAAGCCCCTGTCCACATCACCACTGGCTCAGCTGTAAGTAGTAGCTAATATAGCTTCTATTGATAAGATAGGATGACTTAAGGGATGGTCTTTTACTTAATAAAAGTTAACTTGCAATAACTCTTCAAGAAAGATACAGACAGCAGAGACTTTTTAACAATACAGGACATTTTTTAACACTCTGTTGTCACATACCCATTTTAAGTGTAACTGTTACCGGAAATTTATTTTAAAGAAATTTGGTCGACGGAAAATTGATCGACGGAAGTTTGATGGAACGGAAATTTGATCGAATTAAATTTGGTCGATCGGAAGTTTTGTAGAATTTTTTTTTCACTTCACACGATCTTATTTTCTTCAAATTTCTTTTTGAACCCACTATACTATATAGTCAAAGAAAATGATGCTTTCAAAAAGAAGTTTGACGCAAAATTTGACTGGGAAAAAAAATTCGACCAAGTAGCGTTCGACCAAACTTCCGCTCGATCATATTTCCGTCGATCACACTATACTATATAGTCAAAGAAAATGATGCTTTCAAAAAGAAGTTTGACGCAAAATTTGACTGGGAAAAAAAATTCGACCAAGTAGCGTTCGACCAAACTTCCGCTCGATCATATTTCCGTCGATCAATTTTCCGTCGACGAAATTTCTTTCAAACAAATTTCTAGATACTAAATGTCACAGATATTAAAGAGAGTGGTTGGGTCCTAAAAATAAGTCGCTCTCTACACATTTTCGCAGACAACTTGTGAATGATAAATAAATGTTTAATCCGCAGGATAGATTATAATGACATGACTTTTGTCTCCCTTTGGGGGAGTGATTTTTAATGCAGAGTGTTATTGTTTGCCAAAGTCTACCATTTATCGATAGTTTTATTGCTGTTTATCAATGAAGGGTTGTCATGAAAGCCATGATCGATTCAAGAAGAAAGTGAGCGAATGGTCGGCGTTTAGAAGTCTGGACTATGGCTACACTCGTATGAAGGTGTACAACCAAACTCACCTGTACATGGAGCAAGTTTCAGACGATAAGGTAACATTTAGTGAAGTTTTTAATTAGTTTTGTACCAAGTGTCTCTCCAAGTGAATTGAGTTGAGACTTAACATCCATGGAACATTGCAAAGTGAATGGTGTTGAGACTTAATATCCATGGAACATTTCAAGGCGAATGGGGTTGAGACTAAACATCCATGGAACATTGCAAGGTGAATGGACTTGAGACTAGACTTAACATCCATGGAACATTGCAAAGTGAATGGTGTTGAGACTTAATATCCATGGAACATTTCAAGGCGAATGGGGTTGAGACTAAACATCCATGGAACATTGCAAGGTGAATGGACTTGAGACTAGACATTCATGGAACATTGCAAAGTTTGAGTTTTTAATGGGACAATGTTATTAGGACTATTAAAATACGAGATAATTGTTTTTTTTACATACCTCTATTCGTACATGGCATTATTATTTACATGACATTCTAGTACATGGCATTATTTGCACCTGACATTCCAGTACATGGCATGATATGTACACTGCATTCTAGTACATTTCATCATTTTTGCATGGCATTCTAGTACATGGTTTTATTTGTATAAGGCATTCTAGTACATGGCTTTATTTGTTCATGTCATTATTTGTACATGGCATTGTTGGTATGTGTCATTCTAGTACATGACATTATTTGTATATGGCATAATTTTTACATGGCATTCTAGTACATGGCATTATTTGTAAAAGACAATAAAATTCATTTTTTTTAGAATGGAAACACTAAAATCTGGAAATTAAATTAATGTGTTTATAAATTATTTTATATGATATATCATTAAATTATTTGATGCCGTTTGATCAAATGTCGCTATTATTAAATTTAAATTTATGTGTTTATAAACTTAAAATAATGTATTTCAAAGGGTTTTTACATTTAATATAGCGGGTAATCATAGACTACGAATAAAATGATGGAGTATAACAAAAATATATTAAACATCTAATGAACATCTATGTAATCTCAACGCAAACATGAAGCTCATGACGGTTGAACACTGATCTTAGTCGGTGTTCTTTCTAGGTTTCAACAGAGCGCAGTTAAAACATACTTTGGAGATCTCCTTTGTTGTTGCTGGAAGTAGCACAGGTTCTACTTTCGTCAATAGCACAGGTTCTACTTTCGTCAGTAGCACAGGTTCTACTTTCGTCAATAGCACAGGTTCTACTTTCGTCAGTAGCACAGGTTCTACTTTCGTCAATAGCACAGGTTCTACTTTCGTCAGTAGCACAGGTTCTACTTTCGTCAGTAGCACAGGTTCTACTTTCGTCAGTAGCACAGGTTCTACTTTCGTCAATAGCACAGGTTCTACTTTCGTCAATAGCACAGGTTCTACTTTCGTCAACAGCACAGGTTCTACTTTCGTCAACAGAAAAGGAGATCTCTAACGTTTTTTTTAAAACTGTGCTCTGTTTTTGTCGTATTTTCATTGATCCTGTTTGCTGAAGAAGGCTCTAAGCCGAAACATTCAAATCTTATTGTCCCGTCTTTTGATTCAAGCTTCCACATACCTTGTTCCACTATTTCATTCACACAGCTTGAACGCAGTCCTTCATTTATTATCTTTTATCCTATTGGTATGAAGGTTTTAACGTTATGAACGGTAAAACGCTATTCTAACTGCTACCAAATAATTCGATCGATATCTTCAATTTTACAAAACTGCTAAAACTTGAATAATATCTGTCCTGGAAATCTCAGTGGTCAGTTTAACGTGAATGTCTTGTCATGGCAATCTGATTGTCAATTTAACTTGAATGTTTTGTCATGATAATGTGATTGGTCACTGTAACTTGAATATCTATCCTGACAATCTGATACGTCAGTGTAATTTAAATATCTGTCCTGGCAATCTCATTGGTCAGTTAAAAGTGAATGTCTTGTCATGGCAATCTGATTGGTCAGTGTAACTTTAATATCTGTCCTGACAATCTGATTGGTCAGTGTAACTTGAATGACTTGTCATGGCAATCTGATTGGTAAATTTAACTTGAATGTCTTGTCATGGCAATCTGATCTGTCAGATTAACTTATATGTCTTGTCATGATAATGTGATTGATCAATGCAACTTGTATGTATTTTTATGGCAATTTGATTTGTCAGTTTAACTTAAATGTCTTGTCGTGGCAATCTGATTGGTTAGTTAAACTTGAATGTCTTGTCATGGCAATCTGATTCGTCAGTGTAACTTGAGTATCTTGTCATTTTAATGTGATTAGTCAGTGTAACTTGAATGTCTTATCATGGCAAACTGATTTGTCAGTTTACCTTGAATATCTGTCCTGGCAATCTGATTGGTGAGTTTAACTTAAATATCTGTCCCGGCAATCTGATTTGTCAGTTTAACTTGAATGTCTTGTCTTGGCAATCTGCATAATCAGTTTAACTTGAATGTTTTGTCATGGTAATCTGAACGGTCATTTTAACTTGAATGTCTTGTCATAGTAATCTGATTGGTCAGTGTAACTTGAATATCTTGTCATGTAAATCTTATTTGTCAGCTAAACTTGAAAGTTTTGTCATGGAAATCTGATTGGTCAGTTAACTTGAATGTCATGCCATGGTAATCTGATGGTAAGATTTTGCTTGTCCTCATACATATATTGTTTTATTTCCACAGGATGGGGCCATCATAGACAGAGTTATGCTTATCAAAGATTCACATGGATCTTATTCTGAAAAACCAAATCCCGTGACACCCATGGGTGACCCCTTGAAGAAAATCTGGAAAAATTGGCAGAGGGTCAAGGCCATGGCCAAGGACACTCAATAGTAACACTTTTTAAAGAGATTGTTTTGTCATCTTACATTAAAACACCTCTAACCTACCAGTGTGAGGTGATTTAAACTTGGCTGATTAGTTCAAGAAACAGAAACTGTCACAGCTGTAACTTACGCATAATAATCTGCTCAACTTTAAAAATGTGCGTACACGAAGATCTTAAATAGATTCTATTGGTTGACTACTCATTGTACCCATCAATTTATCAAAAACAGCATTTGAGCTTGCCCTAGCTCAAATATCATATTGCAATGTTGTTGATTTGTCTAATGAATTTTCAACTGTTGAATTTAATTTTCTTGTTTATTAAAAGTTTACTTTATAACTCTCATATATTTCCTGTGTCTTGTTTTCTTAGCCGTTTGTACTGTGTGTTCTCTGTTCTTTGTTTGACGTTAGCCGTTTGTACTGTGTGTTCTCTGTTCTTTGTTTCTGCAATCGGCAAACATGACACACAAGAGACAAGAAACAAACTGCAATCCCGTTTGTACTGTGTGTTCTCTGTTCTTTGTTTGACGTTAGCCGTTTGTACTGTGTGTTCTCTGTTCTTTGTTTGACTTTTCCTTGTCGTTTAGTTTGGATTTGATCTTTTTTCTTCTTTTTATTGTTTGTTTATCTTTTCTTTAATTGTCTGTTTGTTTATATGTTGTTTGTTAATGTATTTTTTTTTTAATATTAATTGTTTGTCGGACGTTTCCACGTTTGATCCTTATGGTATCTTAATTGTTGGTCTGAAGGTTTGGGGACGGGATTGTGGGCAGAAAATGACCCTGGCGTTCTACGCGTCTTGCTCTGAGCAATTCTCATCCCGTTATTGTCTCCACTTTTCTTCCCGTTGACCAACTAGCGGTTCCTCCGTAATTTATATAAAACATTAAAACTGTAAGACAGTACTACAATAAATATACACTATAAGATACCAGTACAATAGATAGACAGGATAACTGAAGTACAGTATAGAAACTATAAGAATGAAGTGCAATACATATTGTTGTTGTTGTTCGTCCGTCGAAATTGAACAATACATATACTATAGACACTATCAGACAGAATTACAATAGATAGGTTCTATAAATTACCAGTTCTATACATAGACACTAAGACAGGATTACAATACATTAACACTATACGCAGAAGTACAATACATAGGTACTATAAGACAAGGGTATAATACACATACACAATAAGACAGGATTACAAAACATGGACACTATAAGACAATGGTACAATACACAGACACTATTCTGTACGACAGAAGTCCAATATATAGACACGGTAAGACAGAAGTACAATACATAGACACTATAACACAGAATTAAAATACATAGACACTATAAGACAGAAGTACAACACATAGGCTCTATAAGATAGAAGTACAATACATACACACTATACGACAGAAGTCCATACATAGACACTATAAGACAGAAGTACAATACATACACACTACAAGATAGAAGTACCGGTACTGCTGACTATACATTGATACTATGACGTTAAAGATATTTTAAATTCTAGTTTACCGAGACACAATGGTGCAACATACACATATTTTCTTAACATTTAAGCCTTGGCGTTGCACTGTCCCCATTTAAAACCGGCCACGTGACTCTTTCGATAGCACTGTTGTGAACAGTCTGGTGGAAAATAATCTTTGTCATAACTGATTTGATAAGTCTGGAGAGAGGTGGGACATTCCGAAATACTGATTTCTGTGAGAGGAAAGAAAATGCTGCTTCATCACTTGATAGTTGCCCTTTCTCTCTGGGCAGCAAGTGATTGTATTGTTTTGTTCGAACCTCAACAAACTCACATTTCTGTCGGAGGTAAACATTGAGTTGTTTTATAGATTGCAACTAACTCAATAAAACGACACATATTTTAAACCTTAGCAATGTTGACGTAATTTCCCTTAACTTTGGTAACATTTTGGTAACATTTTGGTAACATTTTGGTAACATTTTGGTAACATTTTGGTAACATTTTGGTAAGATTTTGCTAACATTTTGGTAACATTTTTGTGACATTTTGGTAACATTTTGGTAACATTTTGGTAACATTTTGGTAACATTTTGATAACATTTTGGTAACATTTTTGTGACATTGTATCTGCCTTACGGTGGAACTTTTTTGTTGTTAAATGAATGACACTCGTGAATGGAGCGTTTACAAGCCAATGAAAGATCTGGTGTTGCCAGTTTGTGCTGTCTATGTTCTGGGCAGAATAATCCAGTGAAGCATCTCTTTGTCTCAGAAAGTTGAGAATTTAACATACAATACAAAACAAGAGGATGAAGCAAAGATATTGGTATTTGAAATAAACATTTTTTAAAATCTTAAATCAAGTTTGTAAATGTTTACTTGTAGGGGCAAAGGTTGGTGGAACATATTTTGTGATGGAAATAGATTATGTCTCGGTGATATGTCTCTGGACAGTGGCGCGTTGTTCCAAAGGGAGGTCATTTATTTCTATATCCGTTTTGCCCTTGTTTGTGTCACAAGAGTAGTCTGCCGGACGGGGTAGGGACAGGACGTTCTTCGTGCGTGTGTGTGTGGGGGGGGGGGGTGCCACCATATAGTTACATTATTTACAAATTCGGGCTACAAATTGGGGTAAACTGTTATTAGACTCCTATTTAGAACAACCATATATATGTTTAATTCATTGCGTTAGTCAGCTATTATTGTCGTATTCCGTAAAAATTAATTTTTTAAAAATTAAATTAAAAAAAGATTTGTGTTCATCGGTATAGGTCAAAAAGGAAATAAATGATTTTATGAGAAAACTTTTTACAATTTAACACATTTAAAAGTATAAATAAATTAGTTTAAAATCCGCTAATACATTTTTTGACAGAGAGAGAGAGCCGTGTAACAAACATTTGCAGACATATGGTACAATAGGTGGCATCTGTCCTTTTCCAGGACCCGATGATCTAGCTTCTGTTCTTAATTTGCTCCTCCGTCAATGTCTCATTGGGATGATCCTGTTGTGGAAGTCTGGCCAACAATGTCTCATTGGGATGATCCTGTTGTGGAAGTCTGGCCTACCAATGTCTCATTGGGATGATCCTGTTGTGGAAGTCTGGCCTATCAATGTCTCATTGGGATGATCCCGTTGCGGAATTCTGGCCTACCAATGTCTCATTGGGATGATCCTGTTGTGGAAGTCTGGCCTACCAATGTCTCATTGGGATGATCCTGTTGTGGAAGTCTGGCCTACCAATGTCTCATTGGGATGATCCTGTTGTGGAAGTCTGGCATACCAATGTCTCATTGGGAAGACATTGATATGGAAGTCTGGTCTACCAATGTCTCATTGGGATGATCTTGTTGTGGAAGTCTGGCCTACCAATGTCTCATTGTGATGATCCTGTTGTGGAAGTCTGGCCTACCAATGTCTCATTGGTATGATTCTGTTGTGGAAGTCTGGCCTACCAATGTCTCATTGGGATGATCCTGTTGTGGAAGTCTGGCCTACCAATTTCTCATTGGGAAGATCTTGTTGTGGAAGTCTGGCCTACCAATGTCTCATTGGGATGATCCTGTTGTGGAAGTCTGGCCTACCAATGTCTCATTGGGATGATCCTGTTGTGGAAGTCTTGCCTACCAATGTCTCATTGGGAAGATCTTGTTGTGGAAGTCTGGCCTACCAATGTCTCATTGGGATGATCCTGTTGTGGAATTCTGGCCTATCAATGTCTCATTGGGAAGATCTTGTTGTGGAAGTCTGGCCTACCAATGTCTCATTGGGAAGATCTTGTTGCGGAAGTCTGGCCTACCAATGTCTCATTGGGAAGATCTTGTTGCGGAAGTCTGGCCTACCAATGTCTCATTGGGAAGATCTTGTTGCGGAAGTCTGGCCTACCAATGTCTCATTATGAAGACATTGTTGTAAAAGTCTGGCATACCAATGTCTCATTGGGATGATCTTGTTGTGCAAGTCTGGCCTACCAATGTCTCATTGGGAAGATTTTGTTGTGGAAGTCTGGCCTACCAATGCCTCATTGGGATGATCCTGTTGTGGAAGTCTGGCCTACCAATGTCTCTTTGGGGTGATCCTGTTGTGGAAGTCTGGTCTACCAAAGCCTCATTGGGATGATCCTGTTGTGGAAGTCTGGCCTACCAATGTCTCATTGGGAAGATCTTGTTGCGGAAATCTGGCCTACCAATGTCTCATTGGGAAGAACTTGTTGTGGAAGTCTGGCCTACCAATGTCTATTTGGGACGATCTTGTTGTGGAAGTCTGGCCTACCAATGTCTCATTGGTATGATTCTGTTGTGGAAGTCTGGCCTACCAATGTCTCATTGGGGTGATCCTGTTGTGGAAGTCTGGCCTACCAATGTCTCATTGGGATGATCCTGTTGTGGAAGTCTGGTCTACCAATGCCTCATTGGGATGATCCTGTTGTGGAAGTCTGGCCTACCAATGTCTCATTGTGATGATCCTGTTGTGGAAGTCTGGCCTACCAATATCTCATTGGGAAGATCTTGTTGTGGAAGTCTGGCCTAAGAATGTCTCAATGGGATGATCCTGTTGTGGAAGTCTGCCCTACCAATGTCTCATTGGGAAGATCTTGTTGTGGAAGTCTGGCCTACCAATGTCTCATTGGGAAGATCTTGTTGCGGAAGTCTGGCCTACCAATGTCTCATTGGGAAGATCTTGTTGCGGAAGTCTGGCCTACCAATGTCTCATTGGGAAGATCTTGTTGTGGAAGTCTGGCCTACCAATGTCTCATTGGGAAGATCTTGTTGCCGAAGTCTGGCCTACCAATGTCTCTTTGGGAAGATCTTGTTTTGGAAGTCTGGCCTACCAATGTCTCATTGGGAAGATCTTGTTGTGGAAGTCTGGCCTACCAATGTCTCATTGGAATGATCTGGCTGAGGCAGTCTGGGTTGCAGTTGATTTGGATTTTTTTTTTCCGTTGAATGAACAATGATTGCTTTTCCGTATAGTAGGTTTTTCGGAACACCGTTTGCCTCTATACTCTATTCATTGTCTACCATCAAAGGCGCCTCTTACTGAGAGGAAAACATACTGCACAATCTGGCATTTGTTTCCTTTAAACTGATGGTTGGACCTGCTGGTCAGTCTTGATTCTCAGTCCTGATGGTCAGTCATGTTATTAACCGTGGTAGTCAGTCCAAACTCCGTGCAAGCAAAATTTATTGTAGCATTCTAACTAATTAATTACATGAAAATTCATTTTTTCTGAGATTTTATCAATCCTAGCCAGTGCATAAAGACTTGAACACTCCCAGCCAATGCATAAAGACTTTATCAATCTCAGCCAGTGCATAAAGGTTTGATAAGACTTATCTCTGTTTACTGTTTGTTTCCTCGACCCTATGACGTGCATTAAGTGCAAATAAGCCATGGACGTTAACATCAAGCTGCAACATCCTTATCCGTAGGTCGTAGTTCAAGGTGACAAATAAAGTTGTTATCTTTATTGTGGATCAGATAGTTTCAATTCAACCATTCTCACTGTCAGGCCGTGTGGCTCCTATCCTGCTCTGTGCTGGTCTATACAGTCATATCATGCTCTGTGTTGGTCTATACAGTTATATCCCGCTCTGTGCTGGTCTATACTGTCACATCCTTCTCTGTGCTTGTCTATACAGAACTCTGGCTGGTTTTTCTAGTGGTCTCACTTCAATTAAAATAATGCTTCCTGATGGCACATATTTCCACGTCAAAAGACATGTTAAATTATCATAAGTGGGTCTGGACTGTGATAATGCTTTTAAGGACATGTAGATCAATGAGACACACGCAAATTATTGGTGTAAAGAAGACGCTTAAAAAGTGTTTAATGTATATATGATCTTACAATTAAAGTTCAGTCACACTGTTTTATTTGCACAAGTCGGTTGTGTCTCTTTACTCTGTTATACACATTCTTTGTTTCAATCTTGAGTTCTTCAATCCAATCAGCCAATTCAATCGTGAGTTTGTCAATCCGATTAGCCCCTTCATTCATGAGTTCTTCAATCCGAACAGCCACTTCATTTATGAGTTCTTCAATCCGATAAGCCACTTCAATCATGAGTTCTTCAATCCGATCAGCCACTTCAATCATGAGTTCTTCGATCCGAACAGCCACTTCAATTATGAGTTCTTCAATCCGATAAGCCACTTCAATCATGAGTTCTCCAATCCCATCAGACAATTCAATCATTAGTTCGTCAACCCGATCAGCCACTTCAATCATGAGTTCTTCAATCCTATAAGTCACTTCAATCATGAGTTCTTCAATCCGATCAGCCACTTCAATCATTCCGATTAATTATATGCACACAAACGTAACTCCTCACACAAAACATTTGACCGAACATCTCCACCCCATTGTTAAGTCAATCACTCGCTTTACTCTAAATGAGCCAATGACTCGCAGAGCCATTAAAAAAATAGTCAGTAAAATGACACAGGTAATGTACACTCCATATTTTGTTATTAAAATTAAATTTTGATTAAAAGTTTCAATGAATTGACTCCAAGGTGAGAATAAAACATTCAAGATTTTTTTTTTAACGTCAAGTAAATTCTCTTTTAAGACAGTTGATAAATAAAAGAGTTTTCATTTTTTGATGTCCCGATCTATTTCAGCGGCAGAGCTCAGGACCCCTCAAAACTCGTATATGTACCCCCCAAACCCCCTTCCTTACACCCCCTAACCCCCTTCCTTACACCCCCAAACCCCCTTCCTTACACCCCCAACCCCCTTCCTTACACCCGCGAAACCCCCTTCCTTACAACCCCAAACCCCCTTCCTTACACGCCCTCAAATCCCCTTCACAGAACCATTTCAAAATTCTTCCCAGTAACCCTAAAAACCATTTCCTTGTACCCCATGAACCCCCCTTCTTTCCACATCTAAACACCTCCCTTTTACCCTTAAAAAAAAACTCCCTTTAACCAACCAAACCCCTTCCATCTACCCTACCCTTTAAAACTCCAGCATGTCACCTCAAAACCCTTTCCATGAACCCCTGAAATCCCTTTCACAGAAACATTTCAAAATTCTTCCATGCACCATTTAAAATCAATTCGCCCAAACACAATAGATAAAATTAATCAACAATAAAATACAATTGAAAATAAAAAAATTGTTTTTAATTTCTTCATTTTCAGCTGCAGGGCATACAACTGAACATGATCTTTAATCTATAAATAGCAACCAAAACACGTGTGTCCTACATGCATGTCAGTCAATATCACTAAGAACCCAAAACATGTGTGTCCCACGTGCGTTTCATAGGAACCCAAACACTTGTGTCCTACATGCGTTTCAACCAATAACACTAGGGACCCAAAACACGTGTGTTCCACATGCAAGTCAGTCAATAACACTAGGAACCCAAAACATGTGTGTCCCACGTGCGTTTCATAGGAACCCAAACACTTGTGTCCTACATGCGTTTCAACCAATTACACTAGGAACCCAAACACTTGGTCCTACATGCGTTTCAACCAATAACACTAGGAACCCAAACACTTGTGTCCTATATGCGTTTCAACCAATAACACTAGGAACCCAAACACTTGTGTCCTATATGCGTTTCAACCAATAACACTAGGAACCCAAACACTTGGTCCTACATGCGTTTCAACCAATAACACTAGGAACCCAAACACTTGTGTCCTATATGCGTTTCAACCAATAACACTAGGAACCCAAAACACGTGTGTCCTACATGCGTGTCAACCAATTACACCGGCCCAGGTAGTTCTTGACATCGCCGGACTTGGTAGTTCTTGACTTCGCCGCCCTAGGTAGTTCTTGACTTCGCCGCCCCAGGTAGTTCTTGACTTTACTAAAGGTTTTAATGTCATCATGTCTCACAACACCCTCCCCCAAACCCCCCGCCCCCCCCCCCAACTTCCATTGACACTCGGTACTGAGTTTTGTATAATAGAATCTACTGTAATAATTTGAGCTGTGTGAACTTACTTACCCCTTTCCTTTGACGTTAATTTTGTCTTAACTGTATTGAAAGTTTTCTATGCAATGATTGCTCCCAGACACCCCGGACCAAATGATAATTGTGTGGAACACAATGGATGACACCGGAAATGCTACCATTTTGTACGGAGCCAATGACAGCCTGTCACTGCAGGCCACAGGAGATCGCTTTGAGTTTGTTTCCTCTCTGGGTTGGCCCCAGACACAGAATACAGTGAGTTGTTGTTTTATTTATAAGTGGAAACAGTATCAGTCAAAAAAAAAAAAATCTTTAACTTAATCCTACTGTGTACCATTACTAGGGGCCATGGTTACAATTGTTGGTATTTACTTAGTATGGACAATCCGGACATCCATAGAGTTTGAGCCTAGACTTCATAATTTTTTATAGAGATTACTCAAGATTTAAATGTGGCTATGGCTTTCAATTAAATCAACATAATCAAGAAACCTATTAATTAGTGAAATATTAAATAAAGATGGTTACAAAGGTGGCACCCTTATATTTCATACAGATGTGGATTCTGCTAACAATACACATTTATGTTGTGCTTTGTTATCAAATAATGCATAAGATGTGAATTTTTGTTATACTATAGGCTACGTCGTGGGCAGTAATGTTTATGGCTGGTCTGATCAATTTAAATTCCGCACGTGGCCCGATGGAGAAAACTGGAGTCGAGTCTTGCAATCTTTGGTGACTTGGGCAATGACAATGCTCAGTCTTTACCCAGATTGCAAGTTGAAACCATGACAGGAATGTATGACGCTATTATTCATATTGGTATGTGCTGGTACTTCTTGACACTAAATCAACATTTTTTTTTTCCTTTAAATTTCAACTTATTTTTTTTTTACCACACTAACAAACTTATCCCAGATTTTTCACTTCAGCATTCCTAAAAATAACGTTTGACCCAGTTGTTGACAACGTGTTTCATTTCTCCTCAAAACAAAGCTAAATAAAGCTGAAGATACTAGTAAAATGTATCCATTGTAATTGGCCCATCACTTGTTACTTAAATTATTTGATTTATTTTTGTTTCAGGTGACTTTGCTTATGACATGGATAGCGTGAGTCCTGTTCAATCTTGTCGCCTTAAATGAAATAGTAATAAACTTGTTCTGAAATTCCATATTTCTTATCAGATCATTGTCTTGCATAATGCATTATACTTACTGAACTGAAATGATCTTTGGATATTTTAACATCTGGTGGAGACAAACAAGAATAATGATAAGAAATGATCCAACTTTATTAAAAAGAATTTGATAAGGAAATATCCAAGAATATTGGTTTTACATTTGATTGCTAAAATAGAAAAAATTTCTAAGGTAAAGTAAAAAGTCAGCAAAACCTTGAAACAATTATTAATACTTCATAAATTTTAATGCCAATATTTGATGATTTCATTATTGCATAAATAATATTCTTGCAGTTGTTTTAATTATTTACACAACCATTACTAATACGGAAATATTTTCTGATTTCTCCTTTTCTTTCCTAAGTTTATGTAGCTCTATTGTACTGCTATGATTTTTAGGACAATGCTCTAGTTGGCGATGAGTTCATGAGACAGATCGAGCCATTGGCCGCAAGACTTCCTTACATGACCTGTCCAGGCAATCATGAACCAGCTTAGTATGTGAACTTTTTGTTTTAACGTCTTTAAATTGCGTCACAATGTCTTAAACTTACTTTTTTGTAAAAAAATTTTAATGACTAAACTGTGTAAATGATGCATAAATGCATCATTTTGTTGAAAAATTACTAAGGTCAAGTCTAAGTAAAAATTAATTGTGTAAACTTAAAAAGAAAGTATATGTATCCAAATGATCGTTCAATGGAATTAATTTTCCTTTTTTATTTAATATGTATGATGTAAGCGTTAATGAACTATGAAATAATACATTTTCATTCTTGCTGTTGCCTTACAGCAACTTTTCAAATTACAGAGCAAGATTTTGGATGCCAGGAGATGAGAACAAACAAATGTATTACAGGTAAGATGGCTCACAAAGTGATATCTCATGAAATTTTGTATTTAAATTCTGTTGTCAAGAGACAATTATTTTAGATTCAAACTGTATGACCTTTCATTCATTTATAAAGCTAATATTTCCAACTTGAATATGACGCCATCTTGAAAATGGTTTTAGAATAATTCTTAAGCATGATTATTCCCCCCCCCCCACCCCCAGCTTTACAATGGGACCAGTTCGATTCATCTCTGTGGCCACTGAATTGTTATTCTACCCTGAATATGGCGTGCAACCCATGTTTGATCATTACAACTGGCTGGAAAAGGAGCTTAATGTAAGTAGTTCATTGATGATATTTGAAAGAGATCTTGTTTCTCCTTTTATGAAAGTATAATTTAGACCATGTACGGTATTTTAAAAGCATTATTGTAATGTAAACAAAGATTATAATGACATTAGTGTGTGTAAGTGAAATTATTCGTTGGCCTTCTTGTGTCAGTGAGAAACACATTTTACCAAGTTTGATGGGGGCTGAACTGTTCGGATTGGGATCCACTGTTGCAATATTAAATTCAAAAATAATTTCTTAATACCTTGCATGATCATTATCTTCATTGATTGTAAACATATTTTTTTTCTTTTAATATAATCGTCTGTGTGTTCTAGACTTGCACATTTTATTGAACCAATTTGTTGAGAATCAAATACTAATGATATACCTTTTCAGGATTCCAACCTGCCAGAGAATCGTGCCAAGCAGCCCTGGGTCATCACCTTTGGCCACAGACACATGTATTGCTCTAATAATGATAATGATGACTGTACACATCATGAGAGTCTTGTGAGTAATTTTTATGATTAAAAGAGAAATATGGATTGATGGAAGGGGATTTTTAATGAAAAGCATTTGTAAAACAAATTCCATGTTTCCAACAAGCATTTAAACATATCCATACTGGCCAATGTAAGCTTTTAAAATAAAAGAAACATGGAATTTGTTTTACAAATACTTTTCATTAAAAATTCTTAATAGCAACAAATGATTGAGTTCTGTCAGTTTTTACCCTCTTTGGAAAAGTCTATGAAGGTTTGAAACTAAAATATATACAAATTTCTAGGCTTAGCAAAGTTTGGAAGAATTGGTAAAAAATGTCATGGTCTTTGAGAGTTTGGAGAAAATATATTTTTTTTTACTATTTGAACAAAAAATTCAAACGATAAAAAAAAGAATTGTGTACTTTTAACTGACATGTGCGGTGCACATTTTTTAATAATCCATAATTCTGCAAGGAAGAAATTGGTCAGTGGATAACTTTAAGCCAAACAAATTGATATATGATAAATGGTTTTCCCAAACCTTGTTTCATATATTTCCAAAATTGATCTTAGCGAGTAAGCTATTGCATAGTAACAGCACCTGCAGGTTTATGACGGCAGGCCTAGATAATCATTTTTTAAATTTGTTGAATTTGTTGATATTGCTATAGTTTTCAATTTAGATTGGAGACACATGCGCTTTTTCTTTTTAAATCCTTCAAATCTGTTAAACAGTTAGCAAGGCATTGCACATAAACATATTGTTAATCATAATCATGACATTAAAAATATACATACATAATTTATTTAATTATAAAACAGATGCATAAAAAAACAAGAAATATATATTCAACCACCCACCCCAAGAACTATTTACATGTCAAGCCATGGGCGGCACCCAGCGGCATCTTTGCTTTTATCTGTCAGTGGGGCGTGGGAATCAGTCTGTGTGAACCTTGTTTAACTTTAACTTTACAATGTCTGTGATGTCAGCTATATATGTGCCACATATTCTGTGATGTCAGCTATATATGTGCCACTTATTCTGTGATATCAGCTGTGTATGTGCCACATATTCTGTGATGTCAGCTATACATGTGCCACATATTCTGTGATGTCAGCTATATATGTGCCACAGATTCTGTGATGTCAGCTATACACGTGCAAACATATTCTTTGATGTCAGCTATACACGTGCCACATACTCTGTGATGCCAGCTATATATGTGCCACAGATTCTGTGATGTCAGCTATACACGTGCCACATACTTTGTGATGCCAGCTGTATTTGTGCAACACATACATTGATGCTCTTCTATAATTTTAAAAATGGGCGCCCACCTGTGTGTTGATATCTGACCTTGACTTATTCATCCTAGAAATGATTAATGTCAGGTGACTTAGCCGTGGCTTATAAAATGTTTATTTGATTTATGAACAGGAAATAAATAGCTTTGTGCCCCTATCTATGCTGCCCTTAAAAGTCTTTCAAATGGCCTTGAGTGGAATTATTTACTTGTTTTATTTCTTTCTGTTTCTTTATTATACTGTGTTTGAGATGATTGTAATGTAAAGTTTACTGTTTAACTTCATATAAAATTCATGTAAACTTCATATAAACTTCATATAAATTTCATATAAACTTCATAAAAACTTCATATAAAATTCATATAATCTTTATATAAACTTCATATAAAATTCATATAATGAAGACTATGCAGGCTGGTTTTTTTTTAATAATCTTATTTCAGGTTCGAGTAGGTAATCCATCCCTTAAGCTGCCTGGCTGGGAAGCTTTATTCTACAAGTATGGTGTGGATGTGGCTCTGTGGGCCCATGAACATTCTTATGAGAGACTTTGGCCTGTATATAACAGACAGGTTAACAAAAGGATTTTCATATTTTGATTTGTATATATTATAAATATAAGTGTGATATTTTCTTTGAATGTTCCCAAAATTGTATTGGAACCAAAAGTTTAAACGAACTTATTTTTTTTTTTTTATTTCTTAGCTGAATAAGAATATGTTTAGTTGTTTTAAATGTTGCATTTGCAAATAGTATTGCAGGAAGGAGGTTTCAATTGTATTGTTCATTTACGACCAAGACAATTTACATAAAATTATACAACAATAATGATTTATTTTATGGTTATGTTGTCTGCAGGTTTATAACGGCAGTTACAATGAACCTTACACGGATGCTAAAGCGCCAATTCATATCACTACTGGATCAGCTGTAAGTAAACAAATAGATCCTATCTATGTTTTTAAATAATGGACTTTTATACCAATCTCAGCTAACATCGGAATGATAAAAGTTAAGAAATGAGTTTTCTTGTGGAAATTAATACACTATTTGAAATAATTGTGAATTTTTTTTTGGAGCAACTAGTTCAAAACTTAATATATTAGTTGTTGTTGTTTTTGTTTTTTGTACATATTACAGCCATATATTTGTATGTTTCTTTAGGGCTGCAAGGAAAACCATGACAACTTTGACAATACGACTGATCCCTGGTCTGCCTTCCGCAGTGACGATTATGGATATACCCGGATGAAGGTTTACAACAGTACGCATCTGTACATGGAACAAGTATCAGATGATAAGGTACACAAACTGAGATTGCAAATGAAACATTCATTAAGAATCTATGTGATATCACTGCGGGATAGTTACAAGCTTTCAACATTGAATCATTGGACATTAAAATAATTGGTTTCTTTGACGATATCCTAATCCAACAGCAATAAATTCTGTAGCTTCCAAGGCATATACAAATGTAAGCTACACTTATATTAAACCTTATCATCCTCAATGAATATATTCTGTGACATTTAGACCTAGTTTCCGCCACATACATAAATTTTGATTTTATATGTTATACGTGCTTGAATCTTGTAAAATTTGTAGAAGGTCATTACAACTGGTTTATTTAAGTAATAAAGACAGCAAAGTATTAGAGCAGAATGTATGTTATAAAAATGTTCTCACATGAGTCTGTTTATAAATCTGCCATTAACTTGGCTGTATTAATGTGGTTGTTTTTTAACTGATCCTTTGTTTCCTCCTAGGGTGGAGCCATCATTGACAAGCTTATGATTATTAAAAATTTCCATGGATCTTATCCTTACAACCCTGAGCCAGTGGTTCCTGTTGGTGACCCACTCAAGAAGCTGTGGAAACACTGGAAAGATCACATTGATAATGATCTACTACCATAAATTTAGTAACACTAGTGTTTGTAATAACACTTACCTCATTGTTATGTGGTCGTGTTCTATTTACACCATATTCCTCGTTTAAAATTATTTAGAAACCGGCTACCAACATTATTTAGAAACCGGCTACCAAAATTATTTAGAAACCGGCTACCAAAATTATTTAGAAACCGGCTACCAAAATTATTTAGAAACCGGCTACCAAAATTATTTAGAAACCGGCTACCAAAATTATTTAGAAACCGGCTACCATTCTTTTTAAAAGTGTTTATTTTGGTGGATGGGCGAGCTGTGTCTTTTATCCATTTCAACTCAGCAAATACTGAACATGGCAGAGTTCTTTATCATTCCAAACTCAAGGTCACATCAAGTCTTTTTTTAATTAAATTCAATGTACTGTTAATGGACTGCTAATTACTACATTTGTTAAAGCCTAATTTGCATAAATCTTTCATCCTTTCAACAAACTATTAATTCATTCACCGAAAAATGTTATTAAGTAGGCTGTTAATCCATTTTGCAAAATAAAGAATGGCATAGTTAGATAATTAATTGAAATATTTTTATTACTTTCTCTATGTGCCGGTAATTAAAACCTGCAGCGCTAGATGCTAAGAAAGCACATTTTTATATTTGACTTGAACTACAACAAGAGTTTTTGTACCCAAAAGAAATGGATATTTTCTATGAAAAATCACAACAAATCCATTCAAAGCTCATCTCAGATATCTTTTTAGTTTAGTTTAGGTTGCAAAACGATCAAAAATATTTACACTAAAACATAAGAAATACTATAATATATTTTAGGTAACAGTGGGTTTTCAGTGCTTAACTAGGTTTTAAAAACAACATATTAATATATCTGCACTGATATACTGCTACATACGTTTTTTCCTGTTATGCCGCTGATTGAAAAATGTACTGTGATAAACAAATTGTTCTGTAACTTTTACTCTATTATTTTAGCTATTGGCCTGTACTTTAGTGTTAGGCTTACACTTCAACCCTGGATAATTCACTTGATTCTAGGATGTTAAATATATTTCAGTTTTATTAATGTTTGTTTTTCCTTGGTTACATTCCATTCTGACATTTTTTATTTAAATGAGTTTTCTGCAGTCGATCTTCAGGTCAATATGTCATTTTAATGATAATTTTGTAGTTGATCTTCATGTCAACGTGACATTTAATGTGATAATTACTTTAACTCGACACTGTACAATGGCTCCCTTTAAATAAATTAAATGAATATGATGCAAATCTTTTACGCTGAAATCCAAAGTGTGTCCTTTTTGTCTTGTGTACCCTTGTGTTGCCATTGTAATGTACATCTTGTGCTGTCATTGTCTTGTGCATCTTTGTGTTGTCAATGTCTTATGCATCTTTGTGTAGTCATTGTCTTGTGAATCTATGTGTTTCATTGACTTGTGCATCTTCGCATTGACATTGTCTTGTGCATTTTTGTGCAGTAATTTTCTTGTACATCTGTGTGCTGTCAGTGTCTTGTGCATCGTTGTGCAATCATTGTCTTGTGAATCTTTGTGTTGGCTTTCACTAAGAAAAGTAAGAGTAGAAGTTTGAACGCTTTGTGGTGAAAATATTTCATTCAGATTTTTATGTATGATATTTCAATAAACTATTATTTATCTAAAATTCATCTGACTTATTACTTTTTGACTAACTAAAGACATCAGCCTAACCGCCTCTTTAGATTAACATTGTGTCACATCGTCCAAGACATCAATTAGCCAGATTTTTTTAAAGTGTTCCATCTCAGTTGAGATAATCATAATATTTAAAATCAAATCGGGTTACTGGGCTAAGAAATAACCCTGGGCCCCAGGTACCATAATCTTTATTACACTGGATGTTTAAAAAGGTTAATTCTGAAGGTATTATACACATAGGATTAATTGAGGAATTTGCCAGTTTTTGTTAACATGTCAATTTGGCCTAATTTTGTCACTGAAAGACTTGTGACGTGTGCGGATCTCTAGATTGTCTTTGTGTGATCCTATCTGGCCTTATTTAAATGTTGTTTAGATTAATAAGACACAAAAAGTTGTTTAAATTAAAACAATATAGGTTAAGCTTTAATGATGGCGATACAGAATACAAATGTAGGCGTTTCGACAAATGCCTTCATCAGAACAACAACTAAACATTCTTCTTATTATTTTAACAAACAATTAAAATGTTATTTCTATTTTTACTCAGTAAGGCCATTAATGAAGCTGCCGATCCGTTTAACATGTGTATTATGTAAAATCATTTTTAACGCTAACCTATATTATCTTATTTACATAAAATGTTTGTGACTCATTTCATTAATCTACTTGAAAGCTTTATCGCAGCCCAACAATCACAATTTATAGTTAATTGTACTTTTCTCATATCGTTTCGTGCTCCGCGAAGCATTAGTGCTCCGCGAAGCCACTCAAGTGTTCCGCGGAGGAAAAAAAATTAAATGCATGTTGTGTGCCTCAGCAGTTCACAATTCCATTCTGACCAGTAAATGTGGTTTCTTTCGTTCACTTTCAGTTATTGTATTGATGCGATTTTAAAAAAATTAAAGTTGTCTGAGACTAGGTACTAGATACATCACTAACAAATGTGGTTTGTTGTGCCAAAATAGAACGATACGTTTACTTATTTTATTACTGTCATTGGTCTCATAAATATGCAAGGAAACAACGATCATATTCATACATCCACTGACACATTATGTGCAATTAAAAAACAACACTTTTACTATGGAAGAGACAAGTGTGAAAATCAAAATCTTTTGCAATGGAAGAGACAATTAAGAGAAACATATACAGAAATGTACTCTTCTGAGCAGGATACAGACGAGGTAATCATTTCTTTAAGCTTACGTCAAAATGATTAACTACTAAAAGAATATGACCTACTTTTATATTGCATTCTGCGGTCACTTTGTTATTGCAGACGTGTATTTGCTGTTGATATTAATCTATGAGTAGACTTACAGATCACATTATCGCAGTCTGTCACTGGTAAAAATAAAGTTACTGGTGAAATTTAACGTATTTCAATCTCAGATCAGACTAAAATAAGATGTATTTAAATAAGAATTAATTAACGAATTATGACTTACCGTAAAGTTTAAAAAACATACCAACAACCTTAAGTTACGTTGTTTTTTTTAGGAAAAATTGGCTTAAAAGACTAATAAAACAGTCACTATCCATTAAGCCTATTCCCACTAAAGTCTGATAACTACAACAAACTGGAAGAGGAGTGTTGGAAATATACGGGGACATTAAAAATCATATTCGCCGCCGTTTCAACTATCAGCCTTTCGACAACTTCAGTTGTGCGGAGAAAGAAGGATTTGAAGAGAGCGTAGTGCTACAGATACGAGAGAAAGCATTTAACTTGCTGCGGTATTCTTTGGCGCTAGATAAGTCTACTGATCTCTCGAGTAAGTTACAACTTCTTGTTTCTATTTGTGGTGTCACTTTGGGCTTCCAGATAACGAAAGAGTCGACATCCGTTTACAGCTTGCACGGAACGAAAATGGGAAAATTCATTACCGTATGTTCATGGAATTGCAGAAATATTTGGACACTATAACTTTCAGTGGAATCTGCTTCGATGAGTTACTGGTGATGGAGGCAAAATCATGGCTAGAGGGAGGAAAGATCTTATGGGGTAGATCAGGACACAGCAGGAAGATTTGCTAATTCCACTCAATCTGTTTATTCACTGCATAATACATCAGCAAGCACTCTGTTGGAAGGACTTAGATGTTTCTTGTGTACTGAAACCGACATTAATATCTGCTGAAGCGGTACTGAGCAGAACGCTCTTGACCGGCCTCTCACGAAGAACAGCGTCCAAGACCCCGGTCCAACGTATTCGTAACCGTTAAAGTCAAAAACCAGGATCAAGGGACCCCCCCCCCCAACACTGATAAGCAGTACTGAAACCAGTCGTTTCTGGTCGACGAACTGAAACCGACATTAATATCTGCTGAAGCGGTACTGAGCAGAACGCTCTTGACCGGCCTCTCACGAAGAACAGCGTCCAAGACCCGGTCCAACGTATTCGTAACCGTTAAAGTCAAAAACCAGGATCAAGGGACCCCCCCCCCCAACACTGATAAGCAGTACTGAAACCAGTCGTTTCTGGTCGACGTCACATCCCACATGAATGAACTGAACTTGAAACTTCAGTGCAAGGATAAACTCATCTGTGACCTCATCTGTGATCTCATCTGTCACCTCATCTGTCACCTCATCTGTGACCTCATATGCCACCTCATCTGTCACCTCATTTGTGACGTCATCTGTGACCTCATCTATTACCTCATCTGTGACCTCATCTGTGACCTCATCTGTGACCTCATCTGTGACCTCATCTGTGACCTCATCTGTGACCTCATCTTTGACCTCATCTGTGACCTCGTCTGTGACCTCATCTGTCATCTCTAAAGAATCATCAAAGGATTTTGGATAAAGCTGTAGTTGAAGCACAACTGGAAGGAGAAAAACTTTCTCATTGTCTCTGTTTCAAACAATTTTGCGCTACAATTTTCAAAGATGTCAACGTCGATTTTTCGCCTGCCACCCCCCCCCCCCCCCCCCCCCCCCCCCCCCCCCCCCCCAAAAAAATATTGGTGACTTCAATAAGTATTCTTTGGAAAGATGTTAATATTTTGACAGAATTTAGAGTGATATTCATCTGCTCCAGAATCAGTTTGATTGTAACCCTTATGAAATGCCAGTTGATCTACTGTTGAAACTCATTGATTGGCCAACAAATGACTTGTTGAAAGAGAAGCACAGAGAATGAACACGTGTTGAATTTTACCGCTGCTAACCTGATGTTTAGTTTCTGAAACTGAAGAACTTTGCCGCTGGTACGGCATCAGTTTTTGAACA